TCCTCTGCGGGGAGCCAATTTGACGCGGCTACGGCGGTGTTGGGGTAGCGTCCGCGGTGAGCCGGTCGCAATGTGATGGTGAGGAGTGTGGTAGATCGAGGTGACACTCACGAGATTACGACAAACAAATAATTTAACACCGGAATATGCGTAGAAGTCCACGGGGGGACGTTTATTTGTCGGTACACAAGAATGGTTATTTTATTATACAAAATAATAAGTACGCTGTTATATGTAGCGTGGGTGTTTCCGTATGGACGGTAGACGTACGAGAGAGAGAATTGCCGGCGGCCGGTACTCGTATTACGCGACTTGCCTTCCCGTCCCGCCTTGTGCCTTTGTGGCGTGGTGGGAGAGTTGGCGATGTCGCGCTGTAGCCCGTGGTGGCGGTTGACAAAAGCGTAGACCGGCCGCTGCGTACCGTGTCAAGCTTCCTCGCTCCGCTCAGAATCTAAAAATTATCCTGTATAAATTATATTATTTTAATATATTTACTTTTGATATTGAATAACTGCAATTTTGATTCTGGGATATACTTTAATTTTTGTTTGATGAGTATGCTACCTATAAATTAATAGCAATAAATCTTAGTAATAGTATTTAGCATAATATAGTTAAATGTTGTGTTCTGTGATTTGTAAGAATTTGGTGGTAAAACGGAACTTGATCAGGGTCTTAACAATGGATAATATATTAATATATATACATAATATTTTGTGTTCTTCTTAAATAAAAGTTTTTGATACAAAAATTGTCATTGTTTTGTTTTGTCTTTGGATATTTCAATATTTTCCAAGTAATCAAAATATTTGTGATTTGTCATTAATGACCTGTTGGTGAGCGTTTATGTAGAGGTGAAGGAGTAATGTCAATAAATATTGATTATTTGTATTACATATTTTTATATAGGCTTTAGGCTCAGATGTTTTGAATAAATTATTTGCAAATATTCTGGATGGCAAAAAAATGTACAGTGATGAAATTAGAAGATTTGCTTTAACACTACATTATTATTCACCAAAAGCGTATGAATATGTGCGAAATTCTTTTTCTAATATCTTACCACATACAAGAACACTGCGTCGTTGGTATACTGTTGTGGATGGAAAGCCTGGTTTCACCCAAGAATCGTTGGATGCTATTAGAGTGAAATCACAACAAGGACCCGTTTACTGTAACATAGTAGTAGACGAAATGTGTGTAAAAAAACATATAGAATTGGACACTTGCCAGAATGTTTATGGTTATGTTTATATGGGTATGGATTATGAACTTGATAATGACGACATACCTCAAGCAAGAAATGCCCTAGTCTTCCTTGTAGTAGGATTGAATGGTTATTGGAAATTGCCAATAGGGTATTTTCTTATTGACTCATTAAATGGTACAGAGTGTAGTAATTTGCTAAAAACTGCTATTGACTTAGTAAAAGAGACTGGTGCATACTTGAAATCCGTCACTTTTGATGGAACGAATGTAAATACAACAATGTGTACTTCTTTAGGAGCAAATTTTAACCTTGATTCTAATACTGCATTTTTTTCTTCTAATCATTCTAAAGATTAAAAAGTTTTTTTGTTTTTATGACCCATCACACATGATAAAACTTGTTAGAAATGCATTTGGGGATAAAAAAAACTATTGTGAATGGAAATGGTCAAAAAATTAGATGGGATTATATACAAAAACTTTACCAAAAAGAGAACTGTGAAGGATTGAGGGCGGCTACAAAATTAACAAACCGACATCTTCATTATGACAATGAAAAAATGAATGTTCGCCTTGCAGCTCAAGTCCTTAGTAACAGCGTATGTGATGCACTTTTGTATTTAAATGGTTCTGACCCAAATTTTGAAGGATCCTTAGCAACAGCTGAATTCTGCCTTTTTTTCAACAATGCTTTTGATATTTTGAACTCACGAAAACAGCTGTCAAATAAACCATTTAACAATTCTATTAATGAAAACACATTCCAAAAATATAGTGATTTTTTAAAAGATTTTTCTTTTTATGTACAAGGGTTATCTTTTGAGGATGGTACTAAAGTAGTACATTCTCAACGCAAGACTGGTTTTGTTGGAATGATTCTTGCCATAAAAAATGCTCTTGAGTATTATAAAATACTAAGGGAAGAAGGCAATATGACCTATTTATTAACTTACAAACTAAGTCAGGACCATCTAGAGACTTTTTTTTAGTGCAATTCGTAGTAGAGGTGGTTTCAATGATAATCCGACATGCTTGCAATTTCAAGCAGCTTATAAACGATTACTCGTCCATAATCAAATATCTAGTTCCATATATGCTAATTGCAGAGCTTTGGACAGTACTGCTATAATACCTGTTTTACATGAAAATGAAAATTCTTTAAATAATATTAACAATTCAAATGACTTTACTGTAGATATAAATCAACTTAGACACATTATCTTTATATGTTGATGATGTTTGTTCATACATTGCTGGTTTTGTAGTAAAAACACTAGAATGAAGAATAAATTGTAAATCATGTAAAATGCAGCTTCAATATGATTACCATGAGAGTCATTTGAGTATAATCAAAGATAGAGGGAGTCTTAAAAAGGCAAGTAAAGATGTTATATCAATATGTAAGATATCAGAGAATATATTTCGACAACACCACACATCATCTATAATACAAACAAAAAATAATTTTCCTCTTATAATTAACAAAGTTAAAAATGTTTTACACACGAAATTCAATATATTTGAAAAAATGGAATGTGTATCTATTGATCCAAGTACCCTACTCGATGACATTCAACAATTTGATACACATAGAAATATATTAATAGAAAATGTAATAGAAAAATATATCAAAATAAGACTATTCCACGAGGCTAGAAAAACCAATGACGTTCTTAAAATTAGGAAAAGACTGAAAAAAATTTCACATTTTAGAAATGAGTAACGATTAAGATTAGATATTTTTAAACAATTTAATTATACTATATTTTATACTTTTAACAATATTTGGTAACTATTATTATTAATTTAAGAACATTTTAATGTTGTGTAGCTATGTTGTAATTATATATTTTTAATCACATTTTTAGGTATTAAGATTGTCTTTTTCATTATTAATTTGTATAGGTATTGTATATTATTTGTATTTGATTTTATAAATATTGTTGTTAACAACGGCCTTTTGCTGGACTAATATCATATTGTATTGTACCATAATATAACATATTATATTATATTATAATAAATTTTAATACATATACATTATATTATTTACACAATACCTACCACTCTATTTTGGAACAATGATAAGGTTGATACTCCTCTTGGGTCGGCTAACCTATTCTCTAAGTACTTTTATTCTATGTATAACAACTCTATTTCTCCACCCGTCAATATTTCTAATATTAATACTATTCCATATGAACTTCCTTCTAATTGTCACTTCTCCCTCGACGATGTGCAACTTGCACTCAACTCTTTAAAAAACACCAATTCTAATGGCCCAGACGGGATTTCAGCACGTTTACTTTTTAATTGTCAAGATTCTATTGTTTATCCTCTATTCTTACTCTTTAGGCTATCTCTTGATGAGGGTATCTTTCCAGCTGCTTGGAAAACATGTTCTGTCACCCCTGTCTTTAAATCAGGAGATCCCTCGCTCGTTTCTAATTACAGGCCTATTTCCATCCTACCACACATTTCTTAGTTGTTTGAGTCCATCGTCTACTCCTCAATCAAAAGAAGTCTTAACCATATTCTAATGGATGAGCAGCATGGTTTCCGTAGTGGGAAATCTACTGTCACTTGCATCCTATCTTTCACATCATATATATTAAAAAGCTTTGAATCTGATTGTCAAGTTGATGCTGTGTTCACGGACTTTAATAAAGCCTTCGACACTGTCATTCATAGCCGCCTTATCTCTGAATTGGATTCACTTGGTATCGGTAACCCTTTACTCTCATGGCTCCAATCATATTTAAGTCAAAGAAAGCAATTCGTAAGAGTTCACGGCGTTGACTCTGACTTATTTATTACTCCCTCTGGGGTCCCACAAGGAGGGCATCTCAGTCCTCTTCTGTTCATCCTTTTCGTTAACTCAATTAACAGATACATTTCTTCCTCTAAAGTTCTTCTGTTTGCCGATGATATTAAATTTTTCTCAAAAATTACATCTCCGTCTGACAGTCTTCAACTTCAATCGGATCTCAATACTTTCTCTCTCTGGGCCCAGCGTATTGGCCTAACGCTCAACCTCAACAAATGTCATGTTATGACATTTCATAGAAAACGTACATGCATAATCCATCCTTATTCCCTTAATGGCTCTACTCTCAAGCGTGTATCCACTGTCAAAGATCTTGGGTTCTATCTAACTCCTTCTCTTTCCTTTGAACACCATATTGATGTTACTGTTGGTAGAGCGTTAAAAATTCTGGGGTTCTTAAAGCGCAACACTAGCCTTTTCACGTCCGCTACTTGTATTCGCTCCCTCTACTTTTCCCTTGTCCGCTCTGTCTTAGAATATGGCTCAGTTGTATGGTACCCGTATCTAGCCAAGAACCAATTACGTTTAGAGCGTGTCCAAAACCGCTTCCTTTCCTACGCCGCTTTTAAACTCAATATTGATCACCCACCCCATGATTACCTATCAGTTAGAACTTCCTTAAATAGCCCTACTCTCGCATCTCGTCGTGTCGAAGCTGACCTCTCATTCATCACCTCCCTCCTTAACGGCACAATAGATGCCCCTAACCTTCTGTCCTCCATCTCTTTCCGTGTTCCTGTGCATTTCACTAGAAATCACTCTTTATACCTTGTCTCCTCTCACCGTACTAATTACTCCTTTAATAACCCATTAGACAGAATGCTACGCCTACTTAATAGCTCCTGATCTGCAGCTGACTATATTATTGTTTATCTCTACTGAATGTTTTTGTCTTTAGTTTTATTTTACCTTAGCATGTACTCTTTTTAGCTGAACGCTGTTTAGTATTAGTTTAAACTTAAGTCTATATTTATAACTATATTTTCCATGTATTATTTTAAACGAGTCGCAAAGATCAGCCAATATGTACTACATAATAGTTCTTTAAACCAACTTACTTCAACTTAAGAGTAGTAACTTACGACAGATGAATTATTTTAGTCTTCTGTCTTCTGCGCTGCCAGCACGATTGCCACGATTTAAGATATACTTAAATATATCGTATATAAATATATACGTATATCTTAAATCGTGGTTGCCAGTCATTATTTATTAGTTAATGGCAGTTATAGAAATATAGAATATTATCTATGATTATTGTACAGATAAAAAAAAATATTTTTGTTATCATAAATTTTTTTTTGATACCAAAATAATGGTTTTAACCAGAAGTATGGTAACTCTGGGGCTCTTCTGGCAGGCCACCCCTTAAGCGATTCACATAGGCATGTCCTATCCATTATGTATTATCTATGGTGCTAACACACATATACATTATACACACATAACACTCAGGTCGGTCGGTGAGTAGTGGTGTAACGGCGCACGAAGTATTTTGGTACCGAGCGCACGGATTAATTATTGTTCGTTCTCGGCCGCAACAGTGAGGAAAAATATTTCTCATTTTCTGAGAACATAAACTATTATGACAATAAGGGAAAATATTACGATATTGAACTTAGGTTCCTAGATTCTTATAGATTCCAACCTAGTTCTTCGTCTGAGTTAGCTAATAATATGAATTTATATAATTTTAAAGTTTTTAAAAAATGGTTTGAAAAAACTTTTCCTAATAATTTAAGTGAATTGGAAAGAAAGTATTTATTTAGATTATTAACAAAAAAATTAGCTTTTCCATATGATTATATGTCCTCATTAGATAAATATAAAGAGACAAAATTACCTCCCAAAGAGTCTTTTTATAATTCATTAAACGATGAAAATATTACAGATGGAGAATATCATTATGCTGAAGAAATTTGGAAATATTTTAACATAAAAAATATGCAAGAATTTAATATATTATATAATACTATATATTATGTACTTTTATTAGCTGATGTTATGGAATATTTTAGAGAGACTTCGTTAAATAAATATGGATTAGATCCAGCTTGGTATTATACTACACCCGGATTTGCTCGGAGTTGTATGTTAAAAACTACAAAACAAAAAATTGAATTAATTACTGGCATTTGGCCTCGATCCTACTAGGAACGAGCGGCGGTATTTATAACCATTTGAGCAGTTGAAAGCGCAAAAAATTTCAGAGAGATTTGTGGGAGGACATGGCAGGACACATGCTCACGCATTTACCCATCAGGCCACGGGTACTTGATGGTAATTCAATGGAAAAAGGTACATTTAAAAATAAATATTATATTATATATTATTACGAGTATATTACAATTTAATATAATTTAAATTATTTTTACTTATAATTATATGTGGATTAATATTATCTGTTTTTTGTTTACATTTAACACAATATATATTTCCCATTTATAAGAAATTAAATTAATATAATGTTTAATAATGCTGTATACTTGTAACCGTTAAGTTGTGTCTGTTTTAAGTATTTTTCTCTAGGAAAAAAGTTAATAGTTTCTTTAAAATCTGCTTCTTTTAAACATATACCATCCTCGATTATTTTATTAGATGTATACAGCAATACCAATCGATTATAAAATTTATATATATCTTTTAATGTTTGAAGATTCTAAACGAGGTGGTTTACCCCAGTGTTCAAATAGATATAGTGAAGCAAATAATAAATATATGGGTAAAAAATTTGATAAAAATAAAGATTCAGCATATATAATTACACTGTAACAACATTACAGTGTCACGTTTGTTGACCAGTCTCCGCTCTCTGCTCTCCAGTAGTCCAGTGCTTGTGTGTTGTGAGTAGGTATTAACTATTAACCTGCGAAGTGCGAGTTTGTAATCATAGGCGTATCTAACGTCAACGTGTATAATAATTAATAATGTCATGGTATATACTTACCTACGTTTGGTTGTAGTCCAGTCCGATATT